TTAAATTCTAAAGCGCCACCATGATCATTCTGTAATTAATTTCTAGTGTCTCTCTCCTTTGATTTCCATCTTGTTGTTATTTTATTAATGTTCCGCATATTTGTCTTTAGTCTGTATCTTTTGTAGTGTTTTTTTAGCATATTTTGTTATATAGCTGTTCTTTCCTTTGCGTATCAGTGTTACTCCTCTCTGTTATTTTTCTTAACTCCTGCCTTTGCCAGTGTTCCAATTAAATGCTTGTTTATGTGTAATCGAACTCCGTGTCTGCTCTATGAGTGCGTCGGTCAGGCCCACACATCACCACACGTGCAACCCCGCACGGGTCGACCAACCCGCAAATAAATTCGAAAATGTGCCACTTCGAGGCCTTTCAGGCGTCGCAGGCCGAAGCGTAAAGTGGAAGCCTGCGAGTCTGCCGCACGTCGATGTTGGATCGGCGGGGCCTCACCCGAAGTGTGTGACAATTACCAAAAACTTTCAGTTTTGGGGAACTCCAAGAACGATAAGCTGCTTTGTTCAACTAAAGTGGCATTGCATGAAAAAGGACACGAAACTGTGATGCACTTCCGCACTGCCAGCTATGCCTGATTGCATTTTTTCGCATGCAGCATCTGCAGCACATTGTGGCTTCTGCCATCGTCTTTATTGTTAGCCAATGGCAAGACTTTCTTCGAGGCTTCCACAGGCTCACCGTGGACATTGATCCACGAACAGCTGCGTAAATATTAGCCTGCTGGCTCAAATTGCAAAAAAGCACTATGTGACCATGATATCAGGATTTAGCTGGCTATCTCGGAGCTCGGCCACTGTGATGATATCATGAAAGCTGGGGGACACCTTCAGCTTACTTTAAGTTATGTACACGTCACAAGGTCCCAAGTGTATCGCTGAATGTTCAAAACTTAACTTCAAAATTCATATTATTAACCAACTTGTTTGTTTTGTTGCACTCCTCATGTGAAACCCTGTGTGCAGGGTTCTTGAGGTATTTTCAATAAACACATAAATTTTCAAGGTTACATACGCTGTTGAGATTTTGCAGATGATATGCACATGTCCACGGGAAGTGAACTCGCTGGCTATCTTGGCCACAAAATTTCGTGTCAGTACCTCTTTAACACCGATGCATCCAGTGTTGCGCAGCATCTTTTTAACAATACCGTTTCTCAAAGTTTGCTTTCCTCCTTTCTTCCTCTTCTTTTCTGCAGAAATACATCCAGGACCACGAGAGTGACGACTACCTGCTCGTGGGCTTCACTCACAGAAGGCGAATCCGTTCGGGAGAAGAGCTCGTGCAAGCCTGCTCTAATCCCTCTCTCTCCTCTTCACAGCCACTCCCTCGACCACCCTCTCCACACACCACCTCCTGCCGCAAGTCGTCTCAGAGCCCAGCGTCCAATGCACAAATACAGCCCACTTCTCACAAACCTGCCTGTGCCTGTCTTGCCACTCATTTAACTCCAAAGAGAACAAGAAAGAAACACTATTTCTCTCTTACCTTTTCACATACCCAAAACACCACTCTTGCCTTGAGAGAACGATCAGCGCACTCTGAAAATGAGGGGCATACTTGGGGTGTCTGTCAACAATTGTCATCTGTATAGTAAAGTATCTATAATTTTCTGCGTATGAAAGTATCTCTATCGTTATCTACATGAGAAAGCAGTAAGTGCACAGCTATCGAGAAAAACGCAAGCACGCCAGATAATTGATTGTTGGTGTGCCGCAGAAAAATGCCCCAAATGCACCCTTTCTTAAGTATTGGGTTCTAAACAAGCGAGAGGTTCAACAAACCAAGCTTTTGTTGAGCCAACATGGTCAAAATACAAAAACGTAACTTCAAATCTGTGATGAAGCACAAATTAGTAAGGTTTAGGTAGGTTTCTGGCTAAAAAAAATTTTTAATGGAAGCTTTACCTCTGCTTTTCCTCGTTGTATCAGTGAATGTGTCATCACAAAATTTGTTGGCAATCGAGTTGTCATGTGATCATTTATTAGTTTAAACTACATTAATGTTACATTTGGTGTTGCTTCAAGGAAACTCGAAAGAAACATATTAAGCAGATCTATTGTGAGAAAATTGCACATTAGCTGATGTGCATATGTCTGTTGTGTGGGTAAACTTCATTGTAAGATCATTGCTGCTGCTCCTCAGTTTGGCTTTGCCCACAGTTAGGCAGCCATGACACCCAATTAAGGGGCAATAACATCCAATTTTCCATCATAACCTGTGTTATGCAGGTTAATCCATGTCTGTTCACAAACAGGCTGGCAAAATTTTAGCACATTTGGTCGAGTGCCTAATTTATAATCGAATATTTTTTTATAAACACGCGAGCTATTTGAGTGTCCTGCTGCACTGTTTCACTCGCTAGGCATGATGCAACAAGCGACTAGTTGTGCTACTGTTTGCAGTCCAGCGAATGATAGTTTTCTGTGGTCAGCTGCACGTGAAATTAAGGCAACTTGGATTTTCCCAGCTTGGCAAATTAAACGATTTGCAGCGGCTGGAACTTAGTTAGAAACTGTTGGCTCCTCTCCTTCTAGCTCGTGATGTCACACACGCCGTGGCAAAATGGCAGTCACCAGCGGTGGGCGGATTTCACTGCTGGTGAATTATATGACTTGTCATGCCCTGAAACATTCTTTTACGACACACTTTTCATATCTTTATGGCCACGATACACCGTCTACTAGCAGTCTCCGCTGAAAACCATGAATAGTTGAGTAACCGTGTCATTGCCCCTTTAAGAAAATTTCTTTTGGAACTTAGCTTTGGATCCTCTTCACGAGTCATTCAATATTGATATTATGAGAGGCGCCGTAGAAAAAAAGTTGTGGCGTTTTTCAGATTTTGGCTATTTATGATGCCCAGTTCTCACTATGGAAATACCAGGCAAGACAGCGGCTCGAAGTGTTGATAGGAAGACAAATCGTCTTGTTGAAATGTCAGGTGCTGGAGCATTTTTTGTACGACAGTGTCTCATTTGTGCGTGCTACGAATGACAAATTCATTATCACACGAACCTCATTTGGGTTCTATCAAGCACACACTCACACAGACAAGAACTTGTCCAGTCCAAAAGCACTTGTTTTTTGGGAAGTTGGTGCTTAGACTGCTTAGGTGTGCTTTCCTGTAGCACAAGATACATTTCCTGAAAAGTAAAACAAAAAAGAAAAAAATTAAGTGCCACCTTTGTCTCTCTTCTATTCCCCTTTTCATGAAATGTATTTTCATGGCTACAAGGTACCATTACAAGGTACAGTGTGACCTGTCCCCCTTGTGGGTGTAGGCCAAGATCTAGGTGACAAACAAAATAAATGTATTTTGCATAATATGCAAGCATATCTAAGCAAATTTGTCTAGTGTCAACCTTCATTGACCAATGTTCAGGAGTGCTTTAAAAAAAAAAAACACCTGGGAACTAAATACCTGCATAACATTCATTCAAGGGGCGCATTGGTTTGCTTTGTAGGCAGTATAACTTAGAGCTCTGCTGCCTTGGCGATGGCATTCCTTATTGCTGGTTGCTTTAGGGAGTGCACTAAACTGTTAAACCTGTGACAGTTTGAAAAAAATTACACTTTGTTTATTGCCACTGGGGCATAAAATATTTCGTCATAAATTGAAATGCATTGCATCATCTTCACACCAGAAATGTGGCAATCGTAGGTAAGTCTTGGCAAGTTGAAGGCCTGATAAGTCACTGATGCCATTGATTAACTTTCATTGCAATGTATTCACACTTTAGTGCTTCTAAATGTTACCTGTGAGCATTCTTACTGATGTAAGAATGCTCACAGATAACATTTAGAACATGGTGATGCACTATGCATTGGCCATAGTGCATCACCAGTATGCACTATGGCCAATGCATAGGCACCTACAGTTTCTGCTATGCATGTAGTATGCGTAAAAGCATCATGAGTAGCGCAACGAGACAGAACAACAGGAACAAACGAGCACAAATACCAACTTGCTCAACAGTGGACTTTCACGTAGTGTGCCTTGTCAAAATGGCTGATTTGGCAAGTTGGTGATTCACAATAGTTGAACTGCGAGTATATAACTTTAACAAGAACTTAGAAAGACGAGGACTTGCTCTTGTTTCCCCAAGTCCCTTTTTAAGTCACCTGCTTCTATTTCATGGGTCATGTATAGTGGACATTTGTATGGGTGTATATTTTCTGGTAGTCTATTGTGGTTTAATTTTTTTATTTGATGTAGTGCTCACACTGTTGAAAATGAGGGTTTAAGAAACACACAGGATAGTGCTTGTTTGTCCTGCGCATTTCTCAGTCTTCATCTTGGTCTTCACGAGCACTGTACCAACCAAAATGTGAGTGCATATATGTTGCGGTTTCACCTGGTTGGCCTTGTCATGCAGAGGCGTTTTTAAACAATTAAAGTTTACTTTGCACCGAATAGATCTGAAAGAGGACAATAAAATGACCTTACTGTATGTAAGTACACGATTGGGATAAACTGTTGCACTTCTTTTTTGAGAAGAAACAGTGGTTGCTTCGTTACAAGGTGATTTTGTTGATGTGAAAGAGAGCAGTGCTGGCATAAACAAGTGTGAAGAGGCTTGAATCCTCACTCAAAATTTGTTCACACCACTGACATGGAGGTAAATATGCTACCCCATCAGCACCCTCTCCCGACCGCTAAAAAAAAAAGAAAATCACGGCCGCGACTCCTTATAAATTGATCGTGAAATGAATTTTTGTTCCGTAATTTACTGTTCCGCACATGCTAGTACTGGACAGAACAATCGTATTTCGCGGGTGCTTTTCTGCGGGACACACTGTTCCGAAACCAGAACTAAATGCACATTAGTGCAGCATCGTCAATTTGCAACTAACGCTCAGTAACATGAACATATTGGGCGATCCCAAGTGACTCGTGTCATTGTATCAGTACTCGAGCGTTCAAAGAACAAGAATCACATGCAAAGAACAGCTTTCACTATCATCACCGTAGTTCGCGTAGCTGGCGGTCTGGCGCTAGCCAACGCCCCTCATTCAATCGGGTACCGACCGCGAGCGAAGTATTGGTACGTTATCAAGCACGGCAAGATCGTCTCTAATCGTCGCTCAATAAGCACGTGCATTTCGCCATTGAAGCCACCCGATCGACTCTCTTCCGTCCGCGGTTCGGTCACCCCTGGACACTGCTCGGGCATGGCGGGAACGGCGAAAGCCATCAGAGTGAGTGTGCGACTGCGACGTAATGCCCGCGGCAGATGCCAAGCGATCGTCGATGATCTTTGCAGATCGGCATCATCGGAGGCAGTGGTCTCGACAACCCGGACCTCTTGGAAAACCGTCAGGAGCACAAAGTGACCACGCCATTCGGAGAGGTACGGCTACAATTAACTACGTGCGATCGTGCTTTGCTTCGTAGCAACACAACAGCTGCTCGCGTCTGCATGATATTGATGATATACCATGACAGCACGCGGCATTTTCGATCGCGATCGAGCCCAGTCCAGATTACGAATATTCGTTGGTTACTATCCAGAGCTTGCACGGAGAATTAGCTAATCGCAATCGAGAAATGAACCAGGTCGTACTGGATTGTGATATGGAATCTCCTGAACACAGCCAAAGAACAGGAGTGAGAAGTATAGACAACGAAAAGGTAGTTTGAATGTATTTCTATCAAGATCTTAATGTAAGTGAAATTATAAAATTTAAAAAAACTGAAGAAAAGCAAGATAATATTGCTGTCATCATTCATAGCAGTGAATAACATATTAATTTCATTTGTTTAACATGCTTGAATGAGATGTGATGTCGAAGGCTCTATTCTCGTTTTACCACATGCTGCTCCTCTAAATATGCATTATATTATTTCTTTCATGCCATGTTATGTAGCTTTTAAGTTTACATCTACGATGGCACCGAACAAAATTTTAAGTTTCAACTGTTTGATTGATATGTGGTGTTTAACGTCCCAAAACCACCATATGATTATGAGAGACGCCGTAGTGGAGGGCTCCGAAAATTTCGACCACCTGGGGTTCTTTAACGTGCACCCAAATCTGAGCACACGGGCCTACAACATTTAGTTTCAACTGTTTGCAGACACATATGATGATTCCTAGAAGTTCGGCAGCTTGGGCTAGTTGGTATGGCATGACGATAGTTATAGCACGAGAACAAAACGACGACACAGAGACAAGAAGGACATACAAGGCACGAGCGCACGTGTCTTTCGTGTTCTTCTTCTCTCTGTGTCGTCGTTTTGTTCTCGCGCTATAATTATCGTCATGATTCCTCGCTCTAGGGATGCAAATATCCTTCAATTCAACCGATTGATCAGGTATTTAGATAGCGGCAAAAGGACAAATCCGAGGTCAAAATGCTGACGAGTGCAATTGGTATGAGTTGTGTTATTGTGTCTAGCTTCAATAAATCTTCCACCTGTGTTGCACCGTAAAACGGATCTATTAGAAGTTAATAGAACACTTGCACAGTGTCAAATGTGAGCCAGTGCTCTTGCTTTAGTGACTGGCTGTAGCGTTATGCTTGCAAGGGCAATGTACATAACAATTTTTATTCCTGTTAATGGCAACTGCATTATCAAATGGACCATGCATTCTAAATTACTAGTGCACCGAGCCACGAGCACAGACAACAAAACTTCAGTGGTTAGTCAACTTTGATAAACTATTGTAGCACCTACTAAGAGATCAAATGTTGCTTCAAACCGTTACACTTGATCAAGTTTGTATTCCTTGAATAAGTTCATAACAGAAGAGAAAGACTCTCTTACTTTCCTAGTTATTTTTCCTTTAACAGGGAGTTTTCGTATAGCATATGCAAAGCATTGCGTATGCTATCCATTGTGGTCGCTGCCACTGAGCATGTGTCATAACACTTACCACCATTAGTGTTTGCGGTGAGCTCCCTAGAAATCAGAATAGCGTGCGGCCCACAAAGCCCCTTTACGGTGATCTTTAAGAGATCCCGCGCTGTGACAGACAACGCTATTCGAAAACTTATATGGTGGCCGTATGCAAACGCTACTCCCGCTAACTCAGTCTATACTATTCAAAAACTCCCTAGTGTGTGTATTCAGTCCTGTGCACGAATAAAGCCAGACGCATGTTGGTCGTTTTTCAATTCCAGACTGACCCATACTTCATTACGCTTACATGTGCTGTGCAAATCATCATGATGGAGACGCATGAAGGGTGTAATAATTCTGGTGTTCCTTACCGTGCAACTGCAACAGGCTGCATGCAAACAGTGTTCTTTACAACCAGCCTCCCATATGAAATGAGCAGGATTTCGATGCTGTAAGCACCGATCGTTGTTGAATGTTCAATTCAGTAAGAGACCAATGAGATGTTCACCTCTTGCATAACTAATGCTCTAGCTATAAGTACCTGTGTAAGCTTCAACTCATCTCCAGACTGCAACAATGTGTTGAAAGGGGTTGGAACGGCTAGCTTTATCTGCTACAACAGTGGTCAACTTCTGCTCTTGTGACGGAGAGAAATCTGGACATGCCCTGCATGAAATTCACACCGCTTTGCTCAATTAGTGCTACAACTGAAGCCAATTCACATGACTAATGGATTGTCTTGCAGCCCTCTGATGTTCTTATAAGCGGACGGATTGGTGATGTTGGCTGTGTGCTGTTGGCAAGGTGAGGTCCTTCACTAGGATATACCATTGACTCTCTTAGAGAACAAGGCACAAAGACATATGACCACGCAGTGTGCTCTCACCTCCTGTGTAACATTTGGATCCATTGCTATGGTGTAAATATACCAGCTAGCTCCGATGAAACCGTTGTCAACTTGAGTTTATGTTATGTGTAAAGCGTGTGGGGAGCAGGTGCGCCCAGCCTCCCTTTCCCTTTTAGGGCAGCGCACGCGCCTGGTTGCGGGGACCCCTTCCCCCACGGCCGGCGCGTGCGATTCCCCCCCCTTTCCCGGCGCCAGGAACAGGTTCCCCTCTCCCTCAGCGAGGAAAGGTACCATTCTCGTCAGGGAGAGGGAAATCGGGTCGGGGAACAAAACGAGCGGGCAAACGGGCGCTCGCCGTCTGACACCAGCGACCATCCCAGGAGGACGAACCCGCAACCCCTCCTGCGAGCCGAGGACGCCCACGACCGAGGTGTAAGCGTCAACACCTTTGTTATCTGTAGTATCTCCCCGCGACAGTGACGCGCGATTGCTAACGCTTAGCAATAAAGTGTTTGTTGTTGATCTGGCCAGTTGCCTTATTCGCCCGAACCCGTAGTAGTAGCTGCAATGAGGCAAGCTACGGTTGGGGGACGTTAACCGTGCACGGAACGACTGTGTGCGGCTGAAACATCAGCTATAGGCTTCTGCGTCAGCCGTACATAGGACGGTCCCCCAACATCTGGCGCCCAACGTAACGAATTTGGCAACGCGGCTAGTTCTGTGGACGCGAGCAAGTGCCAGGGCGCTCTTCCACACGTAGGATAATAGGCATGTCGGAATTCCAAGATTTGTCAATGTTGTCGGATGTCGCGTCGCAGAGTGGCGATCCTTTGGCTAACGCGGGGGTACTGTTAGGACTTTCCGACAGCGTAGAGCTTGGTCGTTTCACGCGGGATGATCAGGAGGGTGCAGAGACCGCGTTAGCAGAGAGTAGGCCTACGACGGAGAGCGGCCCGCATGGCGCTCCGGCATCTCGCGACGCGAACAGAGAGGCGCCGCCACAAGTTACGACACGCGCCTCAACTATAGGCGAGTCTTCGGGCAGCAGTTTGCCCTCGAGCGAGGTACTCTTACAGAATGCGCTGTCAGTTATGCAAAGCCTCGCGAGCGCCCTGCAGAACACAGCGCAGGCCCCCGTGCAAAATGTGCGACCACGTGTCAAGGTAGACGTTCCGACCTACACGGGTTACCACGACTGCAAGAGCGCCAACGAGTATCTCGACCGGTTGCTCCATTATCAGCAGGCGACGGGTCTTTCTGATGCCGAACTTCTCGAGCGCGTGGTCCCGGTGTCGCTCACGGAGCAAGCGGCTCGGTGGTTCCGACTAACCGGACATCGCGCCCGTACGGTAGAAGAGTTCCGCGAAAGCTTTCGCGGCGAATTCCTACCGGCTAATTATGAGTGGCGTTTGCGGAGGGAGTTGGAGCTGCGCACCCAGCATCCGGACGAATCCTTGCTGGAATACGTACGGGCGATGGACGAATTGTATCGTCTCGCGAACCCTCACGCCACCAACGCGGAAAAGGTCGAGCGTGTTACCCGACAGGCGCACCCGACTTTCGCGGCGCACTTCAGGGGATGCAGGTTCGCAGACCTCGAAGAGCTCGCCACCGAGGCGAAGCGCATACAAGGGGACATCCTCGCAGCGCGTTCGTATCGCCCCCCTCCGCCCGCCGCGCAGTCAATCGAGCCTCGCTGTGCATGGAACGGCGGCGCAGTGACTTCAGAAGCGTTTAGGGGTAACGCATCAGCATCGTACGCTGATGAGCACGTGTCACGCGGTTGGGAGCTGTCAAACCGCGCTTTAGACCCCTACGCTTACGCGCTCCGTACGGCACACGCCGCCCCTGCGCGTGACATTCCAAGGCAGGAGCACGTGGTTGACGCGAGGCCTAACGAGCGGCGCAATCCAGAGCGAGGACCACCTGATCGAGGCGAGTTACGAGCGAACCGGCGTGGTGTCCGCGGTCCTTGCTATCGGTGCGGCGCGCCAGGGCACATCGCTCGCGAATGCGACCGCACGCCGGGTCAGGAGCAAACGCGCGGTTCGGGAAACGGACGGCGCCGCCGGTGATCCACATGGGACCCCGCGCGGCGATTAGTAATCCTACCGATGCGTTCGGATCACTTGCACCGTCGGTCTGTCGCGCAGGTGATGCCGTAGACTCGCCCGCGCCGCTAATCGAGTTAACGATAGCTCGGAAAAAGTTCGTAGCACTTTTGGATACTGGGGCAAGCGCTTCTTTATTCGGTGACGATGTGTTGCACCATCTCCGCGAGAACAACATCCGCTTGAGGCAAAGCAACACCATCTTCCGTCTAGCTACGGGCACAGCACAATCGAGCGGCGCGGCTAGGCTAGTGATCCGCTGGGACAGACGCGTGAGGCGACAACGTTTCGTGCATCTTCCAGGGCTGTCAATGTCTCTAATCCTGGGTCGAGACTTCCTCGCTAAGTCGGGTATTGTCATTGACATTGCAAACGGTGGTTACCGAGAGCGCGACGGAGACGCGCTGAAGCTTTTCTCGAAGGCCTCCGCATTGACAAAAGCATGCCAATCGCAGGGAGAGGCGCGAGTACGCGAGGAGGAAAGCGCGCCGAGAAAGCGAGTAAACGCCCCGCCGGAGCAATGTGCTGCGCTGCAGGAAAGGGCAGTGCACCCGCTTTTGGTACAGGCACAGAGCCTACTAGAGGGGGAACGAGCGCAGCTGTCGTCGCTGTTGTACGAATATGACGCGATGTTTACTGACTGTCCCGGCCGCACTACGCTGGTTAAGCATAGAATTGACACGGGTGATGCACGCCCTTGGAAATGCAATCCCCGACCAATCAGCTTAGCTAAGCGGAAAGCACTAGACGCCGCCTTGGACGAACTCATCGAAACAGGCGTAGTTGAGAGGTCAAACAGCCCATGGGGTTTCCCGGTAGTTCTAGTTCCAAAGAAAGATGATACGTATCGCCTTTGTGTAGACTACCGCAGGCTGAATGAAATTACGAAGAAGGACGCGTATCCTCTTCCCTCCATTTCATCGTTAGTATCCAATCTAGGCGGGGCGAAGTACTTCACAACGCTCGATGCTAGCCGCGGATATTTTCAGGTTGAGATGGACGAGCGGGATAAAGAGAAGTCAGCTTTCACGTGCCACAGAGGACTTTTCCAATTCAGGAGAATGTCGTTTGGCTTGGTGGGCGCTCCCGCTACGTATCAGAGGCTAATGGACCGTGTTTTGGGAGATGCAAAGTGGCAGCACGCACTCGCATATCTAGACGACATAGTGGTTTACTCGAAAACGTTCGAAGAGCACGTGCGCCACTTGAGAGACGTTCTAGAACGGCTGAGGTCTGCGGGCATCACTTTGAACCCAAACAAAGCTCAGATAGCGGCGACCCGAATAACATTATTGGGATTTACGCTTGACGAGGGTCGCATTTTGCCGGATAAGGGTAAGCTTGAAGCGATAGTGAGCTATCCATCGCCGAACAATGTCGGTGAGCTGAGGCGCTTTTTGGGGATGGTGAATTTTTATCGCCAATTCATTCCAGATTGCGCGGCAGTGCAGGCGCCTTTAACGAAGCTCTTGAGGAATGGTGAGCGTTGGGCTTGGAGCCAAGAGCAAGAGGCCGCACTGCGTCGCCTCACGAAGTTGCTGGCCAACACGGCTCAGCTGCAGCTACCCGATTTGAACAGGGAGTTTGTTATTCACACCGATGCAAGCGACCTGGGCTTAGGAGCAATTTTGCTTCAGGAGCATGGAGGTTCCCTCCGACCGATTGCGTTCGCGAGCCGTACGTTGACACCGGCGGAGAGGAACTACTCAGTAACCGAGAAAGAGTGTCTGGCGATAGTTTTTGCTCTCCGTAAGTTTGACTTTTACATAGACGGAGTTGCGTTTGTGATTGAAACGGACCACATGGCGCTCACGTGGTTGAGGCGTTTGAACGAACCAAGTGGCCGATTGGCGCGTTGGGCATTGTTGCTGCAGCGTTATGACTTCACCGTCCGCTACCGCAAGGGTAAGAACAATGCCGCGGCCGACGCACTATCGCGTGCTCCAGTTCGACACGAGGCAAGTCACGCGACTAATTCGGAACGAACTGAGAGCGAGACACTCGCGCTAACGCAAACAGCGGAGCAAACGTTAGTTCGAGCTAAGAGCGTGAACCACGTAGAGGCTGTCGTTAGCGCAGGGATTGTTTTCAGCAGAAGGGAGCTGTTAGAAGCTCAGCAGAAAGATCCATTTTGTCGAAAGGTGTTCGACGGGCTCCGGGAGCCGGGTGGTAGTGAGGCCACCGCGCACAAGGGGGCAGCTGGTATTGCTGTCGGTGCGGAGCGCTCGGCAACAGCTGGTAGTGCTGTGAGCGCGCTGGATTCATATCTGCTAGATTCTGACGGCGTCCTGCTGAGGTACATTCCATCCGACGATGACACAAGTGAGTCATTTAAAGTCGTGATACCGCGCGCGTTGAGAGGAGCGCTTCTTCGCTACTTTCATGACTCGTGCATTGGTGGGCATGCGAGCGGCCCTAAGACTTACGCTAAGTTGTGTCGCCTCGCTACCTGGCCAGGTATGAAGCGGGATGTGATTCGCTACGCCCGTTCATGTCGTGTGTGCCAAAGCGTCAAGCCGCGAGGAGGACGTCCGCCCGGCCTCATGCAACCGATTAACAGTCAGACTCCCTGGCAAATCGCAGCGTGTGACGTAATGGGCCCGTACCCCTCAACTCCTAGCAGAAATAAGTTCTTGCTGGTGATCACGGATCACTTCACTAAATGGGTAGAACTTTTTCCCCTTAGGAAGCTGACGGCTCGAGTGATTTTAGAGAAGTTGATGGAGGTTTTTACCAGGTTCGGGTTCCCCGAGCAGTTGATTACAGACAACGCGTCTTATTTCACTGCGAAGGTGTTTGTTGACACGTGCGCCGCGTTGGGCATTAAGCACAAGAAAACAACCACCTACCATGCTCAGTCGAACCCCACGGAGCGAGTCAATCGCAACATCAAGCACATGCTTGTCGCGTTCTCTGAAAGACATAAGGACTGGGATACCTATCTTCCAGAGATCGGTTTTGCATTACGATCGACCGTAAACCGATCGACTGGGTATGCGCCTTCTTCTCTGAACTTGGGGAGAGAACTGCCGAATCCGATGGAGACCGTACTCGCGGACCGCAGTGGAGTGCCAGTGGCGACATCAGCACGCGCTGAATACGCAACGCAGCTGCGCGAGAAGCTAGCGGAAGCTTTACATAAAGCTCGACATAATCTCCGCACTGCTAGGGCACAGCAGAAGGCGCAGTATGACCGCACGCGTAGGAACGTACACTACGAAGTGGGCGATCTGGTGATGCGGCGCCATCATGTTCTCAGTAATGCTAGCAAACAGTTTGCTGCCTCGCTGGCACCGAAATGGTCCGGGCCGTACCGAGTGCGAGAGAAAGTTTCTTCGCTCGTTTATCGACTCGCGAACATGAAAGGCAAACCGAGCGGCGGACCGGTGCATGTATGTGACTTGAAACGCTACATAGCACGGGAGGCGCATGAGGACTACGGTCAGTCCCCCTCCAAGCCGCGCGCGGCGGGTGAGATGGTTCGACACCGGGTCAGGAGCCCAGAACCGCGCTACTTCCTGCGTAACAGTCGGAGGCAACTATGCACGGTAGGCCGCGTTTGATATGTTCGACGCGGGGTGCAAGGGTTAGCGCGCAACACATGTGCGATTGTTAACCTGTCGTTCTTTATCTGTATCACTCTCACCGAACAGATGGAGCGCCATTGGGAACAGCACCGCCGGAACAGCAAGGAGAGGAGACCACCTCCTTACGGCCAGCCCCCACCCAGATGTTGGGGGACCGTCCTATGTACGGCTGACGCAGAAGCCTATAGCTGATGTTTCAGCCGCACACAGTCGTTCCGTGCACGGTTAACGTCCCCCAACCGTAGCTTGCCTCATTGCAGCTACTACTACGGGTTCGGGCGAATAAGGCAACTGGCCAGATCAACAACAAACACTTTATTGCTAAGCGTTAGCAATCGCGCGTCACTGTCGCGGGGAGATACTACAGATAACAAAGGTGTTGACGCTTACACCTCGGTCGTGGGCGTCCTCGGCTCGCAGGAGGGGTTGCGGGTTCGTCCTCCTGGGATGGTCGCTGGTGTCAGACGGCGAGCGCCCGTTTGCCCGCTCGTTTTGTTCCCCGACCCGATTTCCCTCTCCCTGACGAGAATGGTACCTTTCCTCGCTGAGGGAGAGGGGAACCTGTTCCTGGCGCCGGGAAAGGGGGGGGAATCGCACGCGCCGGCCGTGGGGGAAGGGGTCCCCGCAACCAGGCGCGTGCGCTGCCCTAAAAGGGAAAGGGAGGCTGGGCGCACCTGCTCCCCACAAGCGCCAACATGTAACAGCAGCACCAGGAAAGGAGAACACGTGGGCAAGTGCTTGTTTCTTCATTGAGATAAGTTTGTTCCATTCACTTTAACTTTCTTTCTTATGATTGGTTGTTATGAGCATTTACTACCATTATGCACTTGCACAATCGTTCAAAATGTAAACTATTCTGACAAAGTAATGAAGGTTTTAGTTGATAGCGAAGAATTTTTTTGTGTCCGAGTGTTCTACTCAATTTCTCGTCTCTATTCTCATGCTTCAAGATATCAGCACAATAGTTTATTTGCCAGCATGAATTGGCATCTTCTTTGCACCACTTGTGCTTCCTCAACTGCACTCAACAACATCTACTCGTGCAGTAACCAGCTCAAACTGAAAAATGTATTGTTTGAAAATTCTCTTTATATTAATTTACAATAAGAACTAAATTACTCTAAATGGAATGAAATGAATCCTCTTTTTAGAGGGCTTTTTTGTTGTTCGGTTTTTTCTCGACATGTCATAATGCCACAGTGTGTCACCTTGCAGGCGTCGGCAGAACGGAATTACCATATTTTGATCCGTTGAAGTGTCAATTGATTTGCCCTCTCATTGTAGTTAGCTAGCCTCATGGTAGCACTAAGCCCTAAATGAGTGTATATTAAGGTTTTTCACTTAAAAAGAGCACGACAGTGACTATCAGAGGTGATGCATTTTACGTGGATTAAAGATAGCACAAATAACTTGACACATTAAACAAAAGAAACTACTAAGGGCAAGCACCATGTACTTTGCAGTTGTCCTACATACACTTTGTAGTGAATGCATCAAACTACATATTTGCACTATCTATAGCACTAAGTATGTGAATAATTTTTATCTAGGTTTTAAATGTCTTTTTGCTATATTGTTTATTTATTTAGTTAAAACGTAATGAAGAATCGTAAGCTCTGCCCACAGAGCCACAGTGCATCTGCCCATCACATCTGAAATACAGTTGTGTAGGCTGGCTTACATTAGAACTGCGAGTACTTTTTATCGGCAAGTGTAAATGCTATGCACATAAATAATTAATGGCTTGTTGCTGCGACCTAAATAAATTACGTTTTGCTCAGTGGCGATGGCAGAATACCTGATTAAATCTAGCAGTTCGTTCGAATTTCTGCCCTAAAACCACTGGCACACACCTGAATCTGTGTGAGAAAACTGACTATAAATTCTTGGAGAAATGCTTGATGTCACGAAAATGAGCTAGTGCTACTGGATTTAGCCTTTAAGCAAGTTCTCTGTGGGAGGGGCAAAGCGATGGCTCTGGGTTGGAACTGAGTGAATGGATTTTCAATGAATGAACAGGATTTTTTTACTTATGTCGGAACTGACTACACTCAAACCTCAATATAATGAACCAGGATATAACGAAATATTGGTTATAACAAAGTAAATGAAGAATAATCTTTCAATAGATACAGTTTTAGAAATTTACTTTATAACGAATCTTCAGGTATAACGAACTTAATGTGTAAGATAAAAGTTTGTTATAATGAGGTTTGAGTGTGTCATTATGTTTGTCCATGCTAAACTCCCTCAATTGTACGCAGGCACGGCCGCCAGCACTCGGTGATGCCGTCCAAAGTTAACTACCGGGCCAACATCTGGGCGCTCAAGAAAATAGGCTGCACGCACGTCATTGCCACGACCGCCTGCGGCTCCCTGAATGATCGTGTGAAGCCAGGCCACATTGTTCTTCTCGACCAGTTTCTAGACAGGTATGCATTATGATGACAGCACCCGAAGAGCATGAAATGGCAAAACTTGCGCCTGAAATTGCCGCACATTTTCTGTGACATGAGCAGGTAGATCATGCTTGCACACACTTTTATTTTCGGTCAGAAGGAAATGCACCTTCCATGACTTGCTAACCAAAAGCCAGAGATGTCAGTTTGGTGAAACAACCTTATAATTGCTGGTCACCTTAATAAAATACAATACATGCCAATCAGAGGAATGCAAATTATTTTAAAATGTACAAATTCTGGCAAACACATGATGTGGTTCACGCTATCAACATTTCTAAATGCGAGTGATTAGTAAAGAATGACCTTTTAACATTGCACAAATTTTGCTTAAAGAACTAGTGAGAATGTCTGCAATAGCATTCTTGCCATAAACTTGTTTTTGAAACATTGTTGCATGTTTTTGTTTTTGTTGATTGTAAAAGGGAAAGTTTTAAAGAGTTGTTTATGCGCAACTTGTACACAAACGCTTGCTTCTTGTCGGTGAGCCCTGTGCAATATGTGCTGTATGTATACTTTGGGGGGGGGGGGGGGGGGAAGGGGGCACTATCGTTTTTGCTGGTGCGCAACTCGGGTGGCCAGGACATCCTCAACTGTCTAATCAGCTTTTCCTTTTCCTAGTCTCTTGTAATAATTTTTTATATTGTTACAAATAAATCGAATGCGTGAAAGGATGGTTGAATGAATGATTACCTGTGCTATGTAATGATCAATGTGCTTTGGTAAGCTTCACTGCAACATAACCTTCTAATGCGGTGAAGCATGTTAGCAATGTAATTGACCCTTTTGAAGACAAGCTGAGCTCCTTCACACGGTTTGTACAGCTCCTATTGAAGGTGAGCTTGGCTCGTCCAATATTTATAATAATAATATTCGGGGTTTAAGGTCTCAAAATCACGATTTGATTACGAGACGCCGTAGTGAAGGGCTTTGAAAATTTCGACCTCTTGGTATTCTTTGATGTGCACCCAAAGCTAAGTACTCGGGCCTCAAAACATTTTTGCCTCCATCGATAATGCAGCCGCCCCAGCCGGGATTTGATTCCATGACCTTTGAGTTAGCAGTCGAACGCCAGAACCACTAGACCACTACGTCGGGGCTGGCTCATCCAAGCTTAAACAAGCGTTTAGAGGCACTGGAATCAGGCTGCTTTGATCTAGTTTGATTTAGTTGTTTTTGGCCTGAACAGATGGGGCTGAAAGGAATATTAAAACACGCTCAAAGCATGCATCTTGGTCGAAAAAGGACTCTATTCTGGCAGCCTGAATTTGCAGATGCAGTCCTCTACTGTATGTGAGCAACGCGTGCATGCTGGCAGAAACATTGTTTGGAAACAAAAAAAGAGGAGGTTTTGTGGAGTGACGAATTTTGATTCTCCTGCAAATGTGGTAGCGACTCCACAGAGCCGGATATTGTTTTTTCTAAATCCTCTGATTTGCACGACGACCACTTCTCAACTTATTGGCATTAAAATGGTGATGGGTGTAAACAAACCCCAACAGGTGCATTTGAGGCTTTCTTTCACAGCCTGCCTTGTTCTTTATTTTTTATTTTGAAATAGACATTTTCTGTACTGTAGGCAGGAAAAGTTACGACAGTTTCCATGGTGCAGAGCAGTGAAGCCACTCCTTTGCATTAAAAAAAGACTCGCAGTCTCCTATCCATCCACCTCAGACAACTCGAAGAGAAATGTCATCTTCCTTTTCTTCTCAGTCCATGTATATAAGGCAGCAGGGAACACGAGCCATTGCTTTACATGCCACCGTCAAGCGCAGCCTTGATTTTCTCCTTTTGAGGTGCCACACAAGTCACACAAGTTCTGGCATGATGCCATGTCAGCACTTGTGTGACTTCGTGATGACGTCACAAATTTCTGATATCTGTGATGTCATGGTGATGTCACGATGTGTCGACGATTTATTGCATCACTCGTCCCTGGCGCCGCATGGCGGTCATCGCAGAAAGTTAAATTTCCCATTTGATGAGGCGACTAAGGCTTTGGCCTTAATATATCTTGTCTATCTTGCAAATAAACTACGTTTGAATAGTCTTCTTAGTTGTTTCCCGACACCTAGAATCAAGTAGGCCAATAAAATAAGGTGTACTTTTCTGTTGTTTTCGTAAAAAAAAGCTGTAAAAATACGGTTAAGTAACAGCTGTGCAGGAAACCTCCAAGACACCTTTTTTATTATATTCAATTGCTGATACATCTAACTGTTTTGTGATCTCCTTCAGATTGTACAGGTATGCAACAATTAAAGAGTAATTTGTGATGGATGTGGTTGGGGGGCGACTTGTGCAGAACGACCAAGCGGGCAACGACCTTCTACGACGGCGAGAAAGGCTCCCCGAAAGGCGTCTGCCACATACCAGCTGCAACACCTTTCCACGAGGGTCTTCGCCAGGTTTGTTAGCATTAGCAGTGTTGTCGTAGTGTAAAAAAAAAAAACCTACAAGTTTGTGCAAAGCCTCCCACATTCATATTCGAATAACTGCAAAAGGTACACATCTTGTGTTGTTTTTTCAGAAGCGTGCGAATTTGAACCCTTTTAGACATGGTTTATGAAGAACTGTCTGTAAATGCATTAAACTTATGCAATGTCATTTTGAGAGAATCAATATTCAATTGCTATAAAAATAATAATGTATTACATTAATTAATGTGTTAACATTACATTAATGTGTTTCACAGTACTTATTCATTTTTTTGCCAAATGTGACATGGCAGGTTAAATTTTTTATTGCTGATGTGAATTCTTCAGCTGAATGTAGTATTTCTAAAAAAAGTTGTTGAAATTGTTTTGCAAGTTGACCATAAAGTGACGGAAAATTGATATTTGTTGCTACATTTACAAGGCCGAGTAACTCAAACACAAATTCTAAAATGAAAGGTTATACTACTGTTAAAAATTATCTGTTGCAATAAGTGTCTGTGTTGTTAGCAGACTCACAGAAGTAGGTGCGCAAAGTGGTGTCAAGTAGGAACTTCGAGAAAGAAAAGTCACCTTTGCAATCCAGTCGGAACTGTCTAGCCGCGCACGACTTTGAAACGTCGTTTGCTCCTCAACATTCTAGTCTGGACTTGTAACTCCTCGTGTGACGGGCTGGCATCCAATGAACCGGATTCCGATCCGGCTGTCTCGCAGCACCTCCTCCGAATGACCACTAGACTAACTTGCCGCTGGAAAACTACTGCGCACTTCCATAGTACAAGCAAACTGCACAGGTGCGTGCACTAAAGCATTTATTTACGAAAAGGAAGCCCATCTAGCAACTCAGTCAGTTTATTCTAAGACTGCCATGGGTAAACCACAGAAATTGAAGACACCAGATGAACAATGTGCATACAATGCTGTTTGCAAGGAACAAATTCGTTTTGCTGAAAATGTTTGTTGAACCAATCACAGTCTACCACAATGACCAGAAGGGGATTACTCCAGAATAATAAAGCGTATTTCCCCATCAGCACGTGCAGTTTTGATACAACTTTACCCCAGATTCACATTCATAGGGTGGGATTCCGGCCAATTTTTAAAAAAGTCGCATTGAAAACAACTTCAACACGCTTGTAGTTGCATTCACTGCCTCGGTTATTTCAGGTTCTGATCAAGACCATGCGAGCCATGAAGATCGAGTTCCACGACGCAGGCACTGTGGTGACCATCGAGGGCCCACGCTTCTCAACCCGCTTCGAGAGCTGCCTCTTCCGCTCCTGGCACTGTGACGTCATCAACATGACCACCGTGCCCGAGGTGCCGTGAACTTTTCGTCACTTTGCCACTGTTCTTTTGCAATGCAGCGCCACTCTCGATGCTGGTGACGCCAGGAGTGCTAGCTCAAAAACGACTGTCATGTGAATCGAGTTAATGCTGGCAAGCTATGTCCTTGTAACGATAGCTGGCACGTGGGTGCGCAATGCAGGTGGTGCTTGCCAAGGAAGCCGGCCTGCTGTATGCCTCTATTGCCCTGGTGACCGACTACGACAGCTGGCGACTGGACTTGCAGCATGTGAGCCATGTAGTAGTTCGTAACTGCCTGTTTTGCTGTGAACAGTCGTGGACAGCCAAACAATAAGACATGTGTTCGAGAGCAGCTGCATTGCACGGTATCTGTGAAGAGTACTGGCCAATATGAATGTTTTTAGAGCATTCTCAATTGCCAATACATCGCCTTCGCTACATCGCCATACATCGCCTTGACATTTGCCCAATTTTAAATCAAACCATTTTTACATCTCAGTATCTCATTCTTAGCCCCAAAATGTCACAGTAAACACGTTGCCACCGGACAGCCAAGCGTTAAACGACACGAAGTGATGACAGATTTCTAAATTTATACACTAGCTAATCCTAGCTGTTGGGGCTGTGAGTAGCAATTGTGAGTTCGGATCGAAGCGTGCAGCTGTGTTTGTGCGGGCTCTGCTACTTTGCCGTCTAATTGCAATCGCTAGTGGCACTAATGGTAATCAATGCAATAATTCAAATATTACGAGTTGCAGGGGAAACAGACCCGACGTATCCTTGTAACCTAGCATGTATGAACAAGCTTTTATCTGTCAATACTGCAATCAAATGATTATTTTCCCATCTAAGGCTCTGTTCTGCTGTGTCAGGATAGAGCTTGCATACCACTCTGTAACAATATTTTAGCACAAGAACAATGAAGGTGACGTCACTTGTGCCTTGTCATTTTGTTTCCCTTGCGTTAAACAGTTATTTGCATGCATGCGCACCAATTAGCCTGTTCATGCATTGTGCATATAACTTGTAGTTCTGGCAAGGCTGCAAGTTACTTGCAAAGTGGATTTTAATTGGAGTGGGCAAATTTGGCCACTTCAAATATTCAAACATTGCAGTAATTGAATTTGCTTTGACACTTATCTAGATTGTTCAAAATTTGGAAACATTCGAAAATAATGAATTTAGGCATATTAATGCACACATAGACCCTTGTAAATGGGGCTTCACCTAGTCTACGTGTGCTGTGCTGTCAGTAGACTCTCAGTAATCAGAACCTGAAGGGACCAGGAAAATATGTTCCATTTAACAGGAGTTTCGTTTATTGTGAGGTGAACATAGATGCAGAATACAAGCGTGAAACCAGGGGTAGCAAAGGCAGTGGTTCCGTTTAAGCGGAGTTCCGTCTAACAGATTTTCATTTACAGAGAGCCTACTGTACTTATCCAGAGAAATGTATCTAGTAAAATGTATGCATTACGTTCCATTCAATTTTTATATTTCTAATTTAAAAGTGTGTTATGTGGGCTTAGATGTGCCTAAGTAGTATGTACAATGGAATGTATTGTACCAGTTATCACTTATACCTAACTGCTTTACAAATCTTGCTACTATTCATGGTTGCTTCCTCTTCAAACCTAGAGTGCCATTCACTCATGGCTAGTTTCGATTCCTAAAAATATTATGCAAGTTAGTTGGGTCATGATGAAAATGATCACTTTTCTTAATAATATGCAATACATACTACTTGAACTATTCAACTTGGGAGTTATTAGACCACATCACTATTCGCTTCCAACCTCAAACTTACTATTCGCCCGTCCCTAAATCTTAACCCTCTGCGACAAAGCGTGTTAATTTGCAGACATGACTTCCTTTTGCCATTTTTGTGCACTGTTGGTGACAAAGAGGGCACAAACACTGAGCTAATGATAAATGAGGCATTTTCGCTCCCTAAATTCGTCATGTTTTAGTTGAAATATCTTGCTACACACGATCGCTTTGGTGAAGGCAGATGTTTTGGAAAGGATTTTCAAAATATTTTTTTCTTTACAGTTTTAGAAATGCTCGCTACCAGATAACTGTCGCATGTAATTTTAGTGGGTTATGTAAATTTAAGGCATTTTAGTAGGTAGTCAATCGTAAGCTTCACAGAGAGACTATGCAGGAGGTCACTGGGTCACATGGGGTAGACCATAAATGCTGTGCCTTGTGGTCATGCGCAGGTGGACGTGACAGCGGTGCTAGAGACGATGAAGTGCAACAGTGCTGTAGCCCTAAAAGTCCTGCGTGCTGCGCTGCCCAACATTGCCGCCATTGACTGGAGTGATGCCATAAAGGAGGCACAGGTGTGTTTGTGTGTGTGCATCCCAATTAGTGATGGTGCATTTTAGGGGTCACGTTTGAGTGCTCTTGCAGTGCCCTATACATTCTGCTGATAAAAGGTGGTGCTAGAAATGAGAAAATGAAAAATAAATGCCTCGGGCCTTCAAGAAAAAAAGCTTTGCTGGTAAACAAATGTTATAAATGAAGCACACGCATTGTAAACTGTGATGCTTCTCAACTGGTACAGAGAGCTTGTGCTGAAGGCACATATAGCAGATGAGCAGTAGGCAATTCACGATTTCTTTAAAAGGTCTGATCAGTAATAAATGGCCAATAAACTCGTAAACCTTACACCTCTGCCTTTTGTTCATTGTTAGGGTTTAAAAACACTTTTAAAAAATTCAAACGTGCCCAGAATCATATATCTGAGATTTTCTGATAATTCAAACAAAATTCAGAGGTTCCTTTGAGTTTGAATTAATGATAGTCAACTGTATTGTTGCAGTTAGATGGGTCAGGACAAATGTGCCCATTTTTTTTTTTTCGTAATAAGTGATTCTGTATCCTATTCGAAATCAATTCAAAAGTGTTTCATCAAAATCACTGTTCGCTTCGAACCTAAAGGTCGCTATGCGCAAAAGCCTAGTCAGGAGTATGTATACTACACAGCTCGCTGACTGAAAGAATTCCAATTGAAATTGAACACAGAGGAAATGAAAGTATGCGTCTTACATGGCCATAGATTGTCGTTCAATTTGTGAGCACTGTACATGCAGCTGTTCATATGTGCAGATGGTCTGTTGTGTGCAATACGAGCGAGAACAAGTGGGCATATAGCATGTAACCCTAAAAATAGTGTGGTTGTGGCTGCTGTTAGCACTCTAACAATGGCAGCTGGTGTCATGTAATCAACTGCTCACAATGACAAGGCATCACAGTGTTATTTCTGTAGCTCTGCGCAAGATACCGCGGTTAATCTGTTTTTTCCTGTTCACTTCTTTTTGTGTCACACCGAATGCAGGAAAACGAGAATAATAAAGAGAGCACTGCTCCTTGCTATGCAGGTGTGCTACTACAGACACTATAGTATCAATGGGTTGTCAGAGTGCTGCTTATTCTGTTTTTGGCAGCACAAGTGTCAATCGAATTGGGGTTTGAGACTGCTTGCCATGCACGTGTTCCCATTCGTTTTGTTCATGACAGTACACTATACAGAATAGGTCCTCAAAGCTCTGTCTTCATGCGCAGAAATGGCGTAAAAGTCGCGTGTCAGCCTTGCATGTAAAAGGTCTGCGATTCGAATCCCGGTGCCGTGCAATTCCTCCCATGATTTTAAGAAATGCCCGTGTTGATGCAATTCTACAGAGATACTTCAGAAACTATATCACACTAACGAACATGAGGCAAGATGAAGACAGAACAATCGCTTTATCTCGTCAACATCTTGTCTTGTAATTAATATATGGGGTTTAATGTCCCAAAACCACCATACGATTATGAGAGATGCAGTAGTGGAGGGCTCCGGAAATTTCGACCACCTTGGTTTTTTTTAACCTTGTCGTCGTGTTAGTACACTATGATTACTGAAGTACGAGGTGGTGTGGCACACTACCAGCATGCCAAACATCCTTCCTTCTGAAGTTCCATAAAGTAGCCTGGGATGCAAACTTGTACTGGTGACCACACACAGCCGGCAATGCACTCCCTCACAAATATGGCCAAATTCTGTATAGATTGCTATAAATTTTTTGCCATTATGTAGCCATGATGCACTGCAACGTTTGAAGATTTGATTCCCAGCCATCACTGCATTTTTGTATGTAATGAAATGTAAAAAATGGCTGCACATTGTCAAAATTAAGAGTGTCACAATTGCATCACGGTTTTAACACAGTTTACTTTTGACGTTTCATTAGCTTCATTGTCTGATGGCCTCAAAAGCAGGCTGCAGCAGCGTGTACAACTTAAATAGCAAAAATTCAACAAAAAAAATAACGAACGATACGTTCCAGTTACCAAAAACATGCCTGCACAACATGGCACTGAAATTATGTACTGTAGTGGACAAATTAAACGAAAACAAAGAATCTCGTAATTGTCTATAAGTATGAACTTGGGAACACAATATCACGGTGGTGATCATGCAGTTGTAAAAAGGGCCCTTCACTCTGTGTGCAAGGCAAAATTGTGTCAACAAAAACTAAAGAATGCGAGTTAGCCCTACCTTTTTCCTATTGTCCATGACTGTACTTGCCATTTTCAGTGCATTATGAAGCAGTAGCATTTGTGGCGATATCCTTGTCCGCTGCCTTGTTTTCACTTGCATGCACTGTATCTCTCTCTTGCAGGAAGAGGCCGATCGGGCGGTGATGAAGTGAAGCGGGAAGACTCGATTCGCTGTTCATATTTATATATATATATATATCTTTTTTTGGTTATTGCGCGACACACAACAATGCTAATCTGTACACTGCTAGACAAATAAAACAGATAGAATGTGGGACCCAAAGCCAGAGGAGTGGCCTCCCCTCTGCTTAGAGCCGCACGTGCGTGTCTGCCATGTCAATGCAGATCTTGAAGTACACGTACGGGTAGTACTCCTGCTGACCCATATTCAGGCCCGGAATTTCCTGCACATGAGCAACCAAAGACATTGTTCTCATAACGTTGACTGAGTTCCTAAGTACACAACCTCAAGCATGCCTACAATGAAATATAAATACTCTAAAAGCTCGCTAATTCAGATTTTACTACCAAAAATTGTCAGAATTAACTGAATGCTGAATTGTTGAAAGTATAGAAAAGCCAATAAATACTGTCTATTACATCAATGTGCTTTTTTTTCTTGAGGAATGTGCAAATCCAGTAATCATTTCGCATAAGAGCAGTCCAAAAGGCGCAATTATCATCCGAGACTTCGTTCACCACGTAAACGCGGCTTAAGACCTGTGCGTCTCAATCCGAAATGTGCTCTGAACCCATACTTAAGTGTATACCAACAATGCGACTGTGGATAGAAATCCTGCCTTTCTGAGTGTCTATGGCCGTTTCCACTGACCCCAAACATCATTTTTGTTTCTTTGTGTTGCACATTTGCAGCGCTTCTCACTTGGCGTGCTCCAAACATCGCCCGAATAAACTGGTCTGCTGCCAGATATGACCGAATTATTGAGAGTTTTATGCCACTAATGCACGTACTGGCCAGTACCAGAGAGCAACTATCAAATGTTTCCAAATTAATGAGTGTTGAATTAATGAGCCCTTTCTGTACTGCTAAGCACATTTAAAACTGTGGAATATGTTTTAAAAAATGTGCCTTGTTATGTGTAAAACGGATATGACAGTTATTTGATGTACAACTTGCATTGCGTAAAAGCATAAGGGGGCCATGTCCAGCTGGACTCAATAACTTTTGTTCAAGTGAGTTTTGAACATACGTATTTCATTCTGCTGCTAATGGATTTGATTCCAGATTATGATGTGCTAATCTACTAGGTACTTTCTCAGTTTAAGTCTTGCTCCCAACTGTACTATAAAAAAACTGCATATTTGAAATTTACACGTCCCAGGCGTGACCGCAAACGAATCATTCACGCGGCACACAACGCCGATTCAGATCGCTCTGCAGCACCACTCAACACAACAGGAGAGAACATTGGCGTCTCCCGCTAAAAAAATTTATAGCTCCTTTGTTGCACAAATCACTCCTTGGATGGCCGACGTACAGTCACGTGATGCACAGTCTGTGAGCTTGGGTTGTCATTTTGTTCATTGGGTGAAACAAGTCCACCCAGTACCTGCCAGTCTGTGCATTGGTAATTACTCAGGTGTTGGTATGAGGACGTACCAAAAACATTAGGCTTGTGCGAATATTCGAATGCTTCGAATGAATAATTCAGTATTCGCATTTGCTTCAAATAAAATTTAAATTACTGAAAATTTCAAATTATTCGAGACGAACGAATAGGTAGGTGCAGACAAGTCTGCATGTAACACTTTGTAAAGCTGGTTTCACTGCAGTAGAGGTGCTAAGCCATAAAAGCACTTATTTAGGTGTATAATAACTCTCGTGTAACTCTCTGCAAAAGTTCAGTGATGGAAGTGCTGCTCCAATTGCTCCATACTGCTCCAAAAGATAAATGCTGCTTTATGCTGCTTCTAACAGTAATTTTTTTTAGTACTACCTGCTCCAAACCTGCTCCGAAATGACACTGAGAGAATTAAAATGACAAAATTTTAGAGTTTGACCAACTCGTAAGTCTTAAAAAAACTGAGAAGAATCTGTGTACTATCATCCCAGTGTGCTACTAGAGAGCAGCATTATCGGCTCTAATCTCCTTTGTGCGACAAGAATGGGCATATTGAGAATATAGCTCATATGGCTGTGTTTTTTTTTTTTGTTTTTTTTTTCAGGTAGACATGCAGGCTAGTCTGGCGAAATGTGAAAATGAGCAGGATTGCTTTTATCTTATAACGATTATCTACTGCTTATTTGGCAACAGTTGTGCGGGACTATGATTACTTCTAAAATGTAGAGCTCAGCTTTTCCGCTTTTATTTGATATCTGCCACAAATACTAGCATTTTAAATAGTAGCTCATTTCACAGCACATTTTTGACTACCTGCCATTGTTTGCTTCATAAAATTTATATTGATTGTAGTCTGCTGAATATATTTCATAAGAAATAATATTTACAATTTGCTTCAACAATGCACTGAGCTCTAATCAGTGCATGGCAAATTTCATATCTGCCCCTAAAACACCAGTAGCTGCTCTAAACTACCTTCATTTTTTCTGCTCCAAAAACACTTATGGCTGCTCCAAAGCAGTACTTTTCCTGCTCTATAGTATGCTCTAAGAAGTAAAAAAACACTTCCATCACTGAAAGTGGTTTCACTGCACTGAAGTGCGGTTGAGCTGTGAAAACACGTAACTAAGAGAAACCTGCACCACCACAAAACCCCATTTCAACGTTAAATGAAGATGAATATATTACCCTCACATAGATTCACTCTTTTTTTTTTTCAGTTCAAAAGCTTGTTATGCTAACATATGCTCAAAGTATAGCAAATTTTAAAATATAACATATTTTACAGGCTATCACTTGCATACTATGAAAAGTCAAATCAAGTTGCTATTCAAGGTTGCTTTTACTTCCTTTGATAAAAAAAAAAGGCATTTGCACAGGCCTTTCTTCAATCAAAAAAAATATTGTACATGTTATGACAAATATGAGCCTTTTTCTTCATAATATGAGATATACATATTATTCGAATACGAGTCAAAATTATTCGACAAAAATCACCATTCACTTCAAACCTAAAATTCACTATTCACACAAGCCTACTAAACATTGTTATGACGAAATAGGCTACAACGAAAAATAGATATCACGAGCAAACCATATTCCCCTGGAAAGTCTCTTTAGAAACCAATTTACTTAAAACCTCAGTTAAATAAGGTAAACTTTGCCTGTTGGGATAAAAAAACCAATTTCGTTAGGAAATAGAATTTTGTGTTAATTTCACAACAACAGTGTACAACACAGACTTGAGGCGGCACGCAATGCAAGGACTGTATTGAGTAGTTCAAAACTCGCAGCGTCCGCATCCTCTAGGAATCAGAGTTATTCCATCATAGGAGTTTTGAAACTCCCCATAGGCTCCATGAATCGAAATCCATACAGGCCATTGGCCCAGATGTCAGGAGTGAGCAGATTGTCACGCCACCTTGTGATCAGCGCACCAACTATTAAACAAATTTCGTGTTTTGCGTTGCCACTCCCAGATGGGGTGGCAATGTGCTAATTCCTAGAATGCCTCGATGCCCCCCCCCCCAAAGTGCTGCCACTTTTTGTACTGCTCCACCAGCCATTGTAGTGCCTGCAGTGTCTTCTCCAAGCTGTAGAGCTCACGTGCCGGCTTTCTTCGGCATGTTTTGCCTAAATGTTGAGTTCCTCAGGACTACAACCACTCGCGTTAAGCTAGTAGGCCACTACGCGTCGTAGCGAAACCTGTGTGCAGCGGGAGTGATAATGGCGGCCGCCGCAGATGTCTTCACTCTGAGCAGAGAAGCGGGCATCGAAGCACTCTACTAATTCCCGCAAAATCGGCCAGGTGTGTGTCTAGGTTTTGGAACGCAGTTTCGCAACTGGTATCATTGAATAACTCTGCTGGCAGTGCACACAATGTCGGACAGCATGCCATGCGTACGTTGCTGAACCCATGAAGCCATTCCCTCCCTCCTCTGACTGCTGATAGCATGCTACTTCATCACCCCCGAGGATGACGCAGATAGCATGATCATTGTGCTCGCAGCCTTGCGAGCAATCATTCGCATTAGGAAGATTATTCAACGCCCTATTACAAACATCTTTGCAGCTAAGCATGTTTGAAATATCCATGATGTCATTTTGAACTGCTAAAAGTAGGTGCATGACTTTTCCTTTTTGTCTTAAAAATGCAGTTATTTAGTTGTGTACCACTGTGTGGCGAGATGCTATTTCAGCTGTTATTTCTTTTGGGGCAAATACAGTGCACAATATATGCACAAAGTGCCTGCCGCAGCTATAACAAAACATTGGTTATAACGAGTAAACCGCGGAGCCCCTTCAAGTTCGCTGCGAAGAGAATTAATTGTACTGCAAACTGAAAAAATGGAAGCATCCTCTCTACTTTTAACTTAAGTTGAGTTTTCGCACTTGCTCACAGTACAATACCAATCCATGAACACTCACGTCGACGGGCCCCTGGGCGATGCTGGTGTCGAGGTGACTGTACAGCTGGTTCAACACCTCGCGCAGTCGCTTGGCCGTCTTCTTCTGCGGCTGCAGCAGCATTCCCTGGAAGTTCACTGGCAGCCCGTACCTGAAACACAAAATGCGGCACTCACAAGTCGAGCGTGGAAGAAGCACACACATAAACATCAAGTCCGTGCAACTTATTGAACCTAACTCCGTTAGCTTAGTTCATGGAAATCTGCAACCGATTTTCAATGCATCAGTGTGTTCACTGATGCAACCGTTCCACAAGCACAGTAAAAGCGAGGTAATTTAACCCTTGTTAATTTGGAAAACCGGATAATTTGGATGTGTTTTCCAGTTCCAGCCAATGCCTACAATGTTTAGAGGAATCAAGCTCTCATTAGTTTGGTCATAATTGGCCGCAACCCATTTAATATGTAGGATGCCGGGCATATAGTGTTGCAAAGTGAGTGGTGCAAAAGAGTGAAGACAACATTTCTGAACAACTTGAACAAAACAATGCAGACCTGTCACAGTCATCACAGTGAACTGCACAGTAATTTTCGGACATCCAGAACGCTTCATGCCTAGTTGCGTTTACCTCCGTGTACGACACCTTGTTGGCTGCAAATGGTCGAAAAGATGTATAGTCGCCATCTACAATCGTATTGTTGGCAATCGTGGCTTCGGCGGCAGATTACTTTCTATTACCAGCGCAACCAATGTGTCAACACATGCGCTCTTGGTGGTGGCGATAGTAATTAGGAAAAGGCGCACAGCCTGTCTCAGACTAGTTGGG